AGACCAATTCTGGACGTCTCCTCGACGTGCAAACAAGGTCCAGTATTTCAGCGTTGAACCATGACCTCCCCCTTGTGTTGAGTGCAATGTTTGAATGTCATTCAAGCTATTTTTAGAAGTTATGTAGACATCCAGGTGCAGAGTTAATACCTTATTTTCTTTTTGGATGAATATCTTATTTTCTTAGCATGAGATATAAATTTGCAATTAAACAATATATTTGTTTTTTTAGAATTGTTTTTTTTAATAATGTTTTAATTATTTTAATCAGTTTTTATTCATTTTTTTTGACTAATTTTAGTAGTAGTGAAATTAAAAGTTTTATTCGGCTGTTTCCAGGTTTTTACTGAGTTTTTGAGATTTCACAGTTTCATTCAGTAGGTGGCGGTACCTGTGAAAAGGTTTGCTTTCTGCCATTAAGAAAAAAGAATTGTTTTCAATCCAAGCCTTGTGATTGGACAGGCTGATGTAGCAGAGGATCATCCTCCAACCAATCAACAACACTCTTGCCGAGCCAACACGGCTTCATTCATAAACAACAAACTGATGATGTTTTTGCATTCATTTGTCTTGAAGCACAACTGGCTGCAGTAAACTCACTGTGATCAACTCAGAAGTTGAAGGTAAGTTTGGTTCTGTTTAGTTAATTTTATTTGTTACATTTTGTAACTTTGTTTGCTTAAATAAAGAAAACCTGCTTTCTCTACTGGCTTGTACTAAAACTTGTGTTAATGTTGCCACGGGTAAGGACAAACAGAGCACTGCAGGTTAGAAAATAAGTTATTCTAACCTCTAAATAATCAGTACACTACAAGTTTTTTTTGCTCATTCCTTTTAAAATGAGGCCTAGTCCACACATTGTGTTTTTTGGTCCACCAGCAACAATGGTCGGGTTGTGGTTGTATTTCAGCAGCATTATTTTTTTTGTGGATTTTATACTAACACATTTTGCTCCTCTCCTCTGTGGTGATCATGAGATCAAAGTTCCTCAGTGCCTATTGTGGCTCTTATAGGGCAGGCAAATTCAACATAAAATCAGCTTCACCACACAGAACAATTACGTTCCTGAAACTGGGTTATGACTAGTCATATTAGTTACATAAAGCTGACATATCATTCACAAACCACGCTTTTAGTTAAATGCAGTTTTTGTGTGCTTGGAGGCTTTAGGAGTGCAGAAAAGTTAGATTCTCTCCTGGTGCWGAGAAGATATCTTTATCTTTTGTAATTTGTAAAAGAAAAGCGTGTGGCTACATGGCACAATGAAATGRTCTGGGAGCTGGAGGGGGTGGGGTGTGAAGCACCTCTTTAGATTCAAGTGTTAAAATTAATTGTTCTGAGGCAAATCTTAAAAAGGGGTGAAAGAGAGGCTTGTTAAGGAGAAATTCAGACCGATGCATTGCAGTATCGCTTGATTTAGACCCCAAATGAAAGACTTAAATGTGAAAAAAAAAGTAAAACCATATGTCTCCTTTAGGTTATACTTTGACTCAGCAAATTGCCTATTTGAGATAAGTCTAACTATAATCTAGTGTTATTACCTAAAATGTTACCATTATTGTAGAATAGTCAATTGTAGCAGGTTTTATGTACAAATATACTGCCAAATGGGTTCGGGTGATTTTTAAGCATAAAACTTTAATTTTAATGTCACTCCAAAGGTTTAGTTGTTTATAAATCATTTTTTTCTTTTCTCAGTTGTCTTCCTAACTCTGGACTTGGAATTTGATGTCCTACCTTGAGGAGTTAAACCACCTCAATAAGGTATGTGTTGTGAGCCCATCCTCCTCCCCTTTGCAATGGATTTGTCAAATAAACAATAACTATAACTTGGACTTAAATCTGTTTACAGATGACTTTAAGAATGAGGGAATGGCGAAAACGCAAAAGAGACCTCAGTCTACTTCTTCGCTATTCTGAGTGCAAGAACCTGTCAACTCCCAGTGAGTATACAMCTTATTACACTTTAAAATATTATTTGTTTGTTTTATCATACCTTGTGAAATAAATATTTTTTAGGGTCTCGACATACGGTACACAGCTTTGCCAGTGAAGAAATTAAAGATGGCTATCGCAACAGGTAAGGAAGCAGCAAAAGGCACCACAGCAGTAACAATTAGCTTGTTGTGGTTGTTTCACAGCCCTATTGTACCAGTGTGGTCTCATATGTCAGTGACAATGTCAAAGTAATTCAGATACATTGAAATGGTACTAGGTCACGCAGTGGATGCAGCATCAGGTCCAGACTCCGCGATGACTTCTACAGGTCCAGGTCCGGAGATCACGCCTCGTGGTTCTTGTCCAGTTCCTGGGATCATGCCTCCAGGTCTGTGTCCAGGTCCAGGGATCACACCTCCAGGTCTGTGTCCAGGTCCAGAGATCACATCTCCAGATCTGTGTCCAGGTCCAGGGATCACACCTCCAGGTCTGTGTCCAGGTCCAGAGATCACGTCTCCAGATCTGTGTCCAGGTCCAGGGATCACGCCTCCAGGTCTGTGTCCAGGTCCAGAGATCACGCCTCTAGGTCTGTGTCCAGGTCCAGGGATCACGCCTCCAGGTCTGTGTCCAGGTCCAGAGATCATGCCTCCAGGTCTGTGTCCAGGTCCAGAGATCACGCCTCCAGGTCTGTGTCCAGGTCCAGGGATCATGCCTCCAGGTCTGTGTCCAGGTCCAGAGATCACGCCTCCAGGTCTGTGTCCAGGTCCAGAGATCACGCCTCCAGGTCTGTGTCCATGTTCAGGGATCACGCCTCCAGGTCTGTGTCCAGATCCAGAGATCATGCCTCCAGGTCTGTGTCCAGGTCCAGAGATCACAGCCCCAGGTCTGTGTCCAGGTCCAGAGATCACAGCCCCAGGTCCGTGTCCAGATCCAGAGATCACGCCTCCAGGTCTGTGTCCAGGTCCCGAGATCACAGCCCAAGGTCCTTGTCCAGTTCCCGGGATCACGCCTCCTGGTTCTTGTCCAGTTCCTGGGATCACYCCTCCAGACCCAGGCCCCAGGATGGCCCTTCCAGGTCCAGGCCCCAGTATCATGCTTCCAGGTCTACGTCCTGGGATCACATCTCCAGGTCCATGTCCAGGCCCCAGGATCACTGCTCCAGGTCCAGGCCCCAGGATGGCCCTTCCAAGTCCAAGTCCCGGGATCATGCTTCTAGGTCCAGGTCCCGGGATCACACTTCCAGGTCCAGGTCCCATGGTCACGCCTCCAGGTCTGGGTTTAGGAGCAACGACTACACCTCCAGATCAGATACTAGAAGTTGGGTGCTACCATTGCCTGATGATGGTAAGTAACAGCTGACATAATTGTTTCCTAAAAATAATAGTCTACCTGCCATGTAGCCTTCCTGTTGGAGAGATAACCACCAGATTGACAAATGTTTTAATTTCAGTGTTCCAGCACATGGTTTTAAACCTGTTAATTGACATCAGAAGTAACCTGAAACACATACAGCCCCCCTCTTCAGCTGTACACATAGAGAGGATGGAGACGATGGAGGATTTTGACAGGGAGGAAGAGCGCCTCTGTAACTCTCAAACATTTGATACCCTGGTAGGTTTTACAAGTCTTGAAGAAAGCCTAGCATAACACTGCAGTGCCGTGCAATCAAACACTATTAGGTTCTGTTGGGAGTGTCAGTGGACTGTATGGATTTATTCCAACAGGTTCTGCAAATATCCAGAATTGGAGGAAGGAACACTAAAGACTTTGTCCACAAAGTTCTTGACAGGTGTGTATCAATGAATATCCCACCCACTAACCATCAGTACGCCCCTTCTCTCCATATGAAGTGGACATATATAATAATATTTGTCAATCAAATGGATTCATATTTGTAATGTATTGTCCTTCAGGCTTTTCACCAACACTTTGATGGCCAAATTCAATATGAAGGGGAGGGGGAAACAAGGAAAAAGACCTTTGGAAATGACAAAGGTGTATAATGCAATAAAAGGTAAGCCCTTATTTCCTTTTGATCAAAGGAGTGTTTAGCTCTTACCCATTTTTAAAAACGAGATAATAAGATGCCAAAACACATTAGCTCCTGACAACATTCATTTTGTGCCAAACACTTTCACACATGTAATGTCTATTTTCCAAAACACCTAAACGCCTTTACAACAGCCATAGGCTAAGGGTCAGTTAAAATGCAAATGTACCAATTATCAAAGTATATATTTTGATCAAAACAGTAAACCTTATGTTCAAAACCTTGAAGAAAATGAGCTATTTTGACAGCATGAGCAGTTTCGACTGAAGTATGAAATGTTTTAGTAACTCTAGCACAATTTGCAACAACCTTTTTAATTGATATGTTGTTACAGCAAAGTGGACATTGTTTTGAGACAGGTGTGAAAGTGATTGGCAAAAATAAGTATTCAAAGGCAACTATCCATATTTGCAGCTTTGCTTCTGCATTAATCTATTATGGAGGATGGTTCACCCCTGCAAGACATTCTTCTGCTTTTTTTAGATTGCCTTTGCTTCTTACTAATCATGTATATTTTTGCAAATACAGAAGGAATCATGAATGGTGATGTGGCAGCAACAGAGGATTTTATAAGGGCCCATGCTGCAGAGCATTTAAAACATGCACCACAAAGGAGTGGAGGGCATGGACAGTAGAACTGAGAAACAACTTGTTTGGTCTTTGTTGTGAGAGGGCTGTGTAACTATATTTTTTGTGTATTTTGTAAGCATTTTTTGTATTACTGCCTGTATAATTATTTTAGATGGGGTTTTTTTGTACATTTGATGTTTGTGTATTTGTGCATATTTTTTGCTTTGCTGCCAGCTGATAGGACACCGCTTCCACTGGAAATAATAGCAGTAAAGCATGTTTTTTTCTTTTTATGTTTGTTTGTTGTTATTTTTTAAACTTTTTTACTACTTCTGTTTATCCAATAAAAAGGATAAAGATAAAAAAATACATTTGGTGATTTATTTGTTTGTGGACCAAAGTCCATCTGTTTCAACTGGGTGGAGGACCAGTTTCCTGTTGCACAATGGTCAAACCATTTCCCTAGCTTTGTTTGCCTGAGCCGCAGGTTTGAACTAGACACAATCTATCTAYGAGAAGCATCTGAAGRGACTAAAATAAGTTCAAATTTGATGTAGAAAAGACGTCTACATTGACCACATTTGCATTTCAAATTAGTGGTCCTGTAAATGTCAACTAGACTACAACTAGAAAAAGACGTCGTCTGGCGTCACCGGTCCGCACCTGTGAAAGACCACATTAAGACGGGTAGAAACGACATAAAATACGTCATTAAGACCAAAGGTTCTCAAACTTTTTGGGTCTGGGGAAACCTTGTAAGAGTGAAAAAAATTCCAGGGACCCCTTCATAAGCCCCATTTTAACCCCTAAATGCCATGGGAATGTTAGTTATTTGGTTTAGTGTATTAATTTTATTAATGCATTTTTCCCTAATGCAGTTATTTAAAAAAAATACGATTTATTAAATTTTTTTGAGGACCCTCAAGATGGGGACTCCAGTTTGTGCAGTGGGTTCCCTCATGTTTTATAAATTAATAAGCCATCTTATTAGTTTTTCCAGCTTAGTTCAAACAAATGGTAAATTTTAACACAATTTAAATTTCACTATATTAAAAAATATTTTATGTTTCTCCTTTTACTTGTAGATGTATTTGTGTCTCTTAAAATGTTTTTTCCACACAAGTTGTTTTATTTCCATGTTTTTTTTTTTCTAATATATTTTTCTGTCTCCTGTTTTTACTTTACACTATGCATTTCTGCCTCATAATGCAAATATGGTAGGCAGTCCTTCTTGGGTCAGCTCCTCTCCTCTTGGTCAACAGAGAGGAAGGAGCAGGATCCATGTGCATGCTTGTGCTGCCTCAGTTTAGCTTAAACTTTGTTTAAGTTTAGTTTAGAACAAAGGCACAGGGAAATGTTTTTCTTCCTTGGGTAATTTTATATCACTAAACCCACTCGTACAATGTTAAAAATAAAAATGACACAATGCCTGCAATATTTGAGATCAAGAAGACAAGAAGATGGGTCATACTTAACCTTAAATTCCAGGAGCTTGTTGACCAAGCCACTCAACAGACGGACATTTTAACTGACAGCTGTCATGTTAAACACAGAATTCACCCTGATGAACTCAGAGAGGAGATCCAGTTCACCTGTGTAAACAGGACAAATTCATCTGCCCCTTTAGCTATTAAAACTAGCATTGAACAAATGAAATATTAGTATTCATTCATTTTTGTATGGGTAAATGTGCAGCCTTTTTAAAAAATGTGCATTTTTGCACACTGATTTTTAATCATTATGATTTTATTGTTAAATTATTGGTATTTATTATATTTGTCTTATTGTTCTCTGTGGTTTTATTGTTTTGAAAGTTTTTATTGTCTGTGCAGCAGTGTCCTTTTAAACCAAACTAAATTTCTCTCAAGGGAGACAAATACTAAAACGTGAAACTATTTAACACAAATAAGATCTCTAACTTGCCAAATCTAATGCAATTTCTTGTAAAATAAAAGATTACAGAAAATGTGTACAAAAACTTCCCATCGCTTCACCAGTGCACCTTCGTCATCAACAACTCTGAATGATGATTGGCTGCTGCCTCAACTGACAGCCTCAGACCATGAATTTGCTCCAATACCAAACATGGTGATGTCATCAACCAGGTTGGCCAATCAGGCCCATCACCTGTTTCACACTATAAAGTTTTTTTACACATGGGACACACAAAAAACTTTATGCATATAAAAAAACAAAGGTGATTGTGTATGTTGCAACTCTTCTACGTATAAGCATATATTTGTAATACTGTTAACATAATGGGCTTATGTCCCCTTTACCCACCGATTTAAATATTGCCAGGCTCTTTGTTGTAATAACTTGACTATTATTGTTTTTTTTTGTTACATCACACAGCTCTGCAGTTCTAAAAAAATAGCACCATCAATTGTTTGTAATAATTAGTCCACTCATGTTAGATCATACACCCACACACACATCATCCAAAAATAAACACACATAAACATAACTGAGTTAGTTTTTTTTGTTTTTGTTTTGTTTCGTAGAGTCCATTAAAATTCATTATACATTTGGTTCAAAACCTAGCTTATAATGATTCAATCAAATATGCAAAMATAAAACAGCAGAACACATTTTCCTTCACGTCATTAAAGACATCAGAGAACAGAAGTATCATTCATCAACAAAAGCTTCTAAACAGTTACAGTATGGCACATTAAACATAAATCAGCAGGGTAAAAAGTCAAATTGACCTTTTTATGTGGAGATGTGTAAAAGTACCTTTAGCTACATGTCTTTTTGTACCAAACAGTTCTTAATAGAATCATAAAATAATATTTTGAAAACGAGGCCAATGCCATTGTGAACKAAATTGATTTTGGTTGTTTGTACATAGTTATTTAATAGTCTTTACAAATCGCATGATTAAGTGTAATTACCTAATTGAGTTCAGTAAAACCGCAAATTAGGGTTATATAATAAAAGGTCATATATTAAAAAATGTTTATGTGCATCTAAAACATAAGGTTTAAGTAAAGAAATGAACAAATACAAAGAATGTAATTATAAAAAAGATTTTCTATGTTTTACTAAATTAAAAACTCAGGGTAATAAAAAGTTGTTTTTTTTTTGTGTTTAGAAGATTTGCTTTAGAAAAATTTACATATATATTTTTTTGACCTCAACAAAAAAGAACAGTAACATACTTAATACAAAGTAAAAAATAATAAAGTCTTCAAAGTTTTAAGTTGTGCAGTTTTAAGAGTGGTAAATATTTCTTGTGGGTTTCTACTGCCCCTTGCTGTATAAAAATGAGATGACTGAATACAGAGAATGTWTCTGCTTGAGCTCACAGTAACAATAACAGTTCAGCAATAAATGAAAAATATAAAAGGGAAAAAAAATACATTTCAAATAAAAACCTAACTTCCGAGTTCCTTCATCCAATAATTAACTAATAAATGCTTTGTTTGTTCAGAAAGCAGTGTCAGTGTTAATCCTGGCGTAGTGCTAACAGCTGTGCTCCTTCTCCTCCATGCTGGAGCAGGAACTGTGGCTGCTGCTGATGTTGTTGGAGACGTCCGGGGACATCGAGGTCAGCAGAGGATCGCTCGGGGAAATTAGCCCAAGAGAGTTGTCCCTCACCAACTCCTTCATTTTACAGGTCCTGGAGTTCCCATAAGGGTCTGTGTCCCCGGTGTCTGCGGGAATCTGGTCAAAGGTGATGGTGCCGTTGTTGAGGTCCAGTGTGGTTGGTGGGGACATGTCTGGGCTGCATCTGTGCTGGTAGAGATCAGACGGGCAGTCACCGAGGATGGGCTCCTGTTTGATGGCCCGAGCCATCAGCTCTGATGTGCAGACTGATGGAGAGGAGACCACTGTAAGACCATGAGCACGGGCCTGGATCTCCAACTCCTGGAGGAAAACAAAAAATTTTATTACTATGTTTAATAACTTGCTAAAGGCTCTGCCACATGACATTTTAAACAACTAATGGCAACTTGTGAAAAGTTTGTCCAACAATAAAGATACCTAAGCTGAAAATGGAACTAAAAAAAATCTGGAAGCCTCTTTTGGACCTATACATGCTGTTCGACTGTTAAACTGAGTTACATGAGTTAGACTGAATACAGGGCCGATACGAGTTATATAGTCATAAAAATACTTTCAGAAGTTGGCATAAGTTGTCTAAAACATTGCAGTGTGACAAAACATTTAACAAAGAATCAAGACTGGAAACAAAAAACCAACATGCTAGCGCCAAAAGGGAAAAAAAGACTTAATCTGAAGCTGAATAAACTTTGCTTCCCATCTGGGAGACTTTATCAATTCAAAATGTCTGGAGTGTGTGGAGTTCCAAGAATTATAGGCCCACATGAGAGGCCTCATTATGTATTTATGGCCGTTTTGCACTCCATGGCCCAGCCTGGGTTCAAATCTAGTTCCAGCGTCTTTGCGTTAGCTGTTATTGCCCAGTTCCAACCCAATATCTGTAACCTGACACCCATGGTTGTTCTGATTTGACGTCAGCTACTTTTGCCCATTGAATGGTTCACTGGCGGAGAGGTTTACGTCACATAAAATTTATCGTTATTTAACCAGGCAAGTCTTGTTGAGATCTCAGATCTCTTTTTCAAAGGAGGCCTGGGCCTGAAGGCAACTTATTGTACATGTTTTTAGGGGTGGGGGAAACCAGAGTACCCAGAGAAAACCCACGCAAGCACGAAGAGAATCTGCAAACTCCGCATAGGAAGACCCCAGGTCCGAACCGTGGATTGAACCCAGGACCTCCTTGCTGTGAGGCGTCGGTACTAACCACTGAGCCATCGTGCTGCCAAGATTGATGCTACGTGAATCGTTTGCAACAATTGTAACATATTTTTTACGCGAGTTACCAAGAACCAGCAAACTAACATTAGCTACCTTTAGCTTCCCYTTTTCTGTCACTGATGAATGGTCCCGTACAATCTTCTGCACTTTTCCTTTAAGTTTGATGTGGTAAAGTTTGGTGTCGCAAATAAAAACGAAAGCAGGTTTTAAATTTTTGGATTCACATACAGATTAGACTGGAACTATTTGCCCATCACACTGAAGAGTTGTTAGGCTCTTTGTTTGCCTGGCTCAAGATAGAGATCGTTTGGTCACATGCATAAGGTGTGAATTTAAATGAAACTGACTGGGAATCAGTCTTTTTTATTGTTAATGACCTGGATGACCAAGAACTAAGAATTTTCACCAGCAAACATTCTGGCTCTTTGCAAAGAAGAGATGAGATAATCTGACTAAACAATCAGTAAGAAAGTCCAAAATACCCACTTTATCTTCAAGAAGATTAGAGAAGACAAGAACCCAGTCCTGCCAAACATACAGCGGGTAAAACAAGTATTGAACACATCACCATTTTTCTCAGTGTGGCAGTATGCCCTGTAGGCTTTGAATGCACCACACAATTGCCTGCATCTAATTGGTTGTGGTGCTGGCTGCCTGTATATAAAGGGCCCTCCCTCTACCTGTGTGACATGTTTGCCTCCCGGTTCAGACTACTGTGATTGTGGGTGCTGCACGCTAGTCCCAGGCTAGTGGGTGTATGAAGGGTGCGTTTAACGACCCTTGATCCTTTTTATGGTAAGGAGTGCTTCTACTTCCTGGGTGTTTTTGTTTGTAGCCTAGCTTTAACTTAGCTTCTGTTTTAATAGGCTACCAGAATGAGTCTACCTGATTCGTCCTCCTTTAGAGGAGCTACACTTTAGGCTCAGTGGTGAGTGCAATGTTTGTCTTATCAGTTTCTCAATTACACAAATTTAATTTCTTAATGTTTGTTCTGTACCAGATGCTGCTGTTTGTCCTTTGCCGGTGTTCTGCTGGAGGCCCTATTTGTTCACTTCCGGTTTTCTATCTATGCCGTGTGGTTCTTTGGCCGGCTTCTAGTGATGGGCAAATGAGGCTTTTCTGAAGCACTGAAGCTTGCTTTGAAAAAGGGTTCATTACTCGAAGCTTTCCAACACAGTTCTCTTTGGCTCCACCCTGTGG